CTCCTCAGCCTATGACAAGAATGCATGAGCACACTATTCAGCAGTGGGATACTGTCTGCTCAGATCCATTTCTGCTATTAGCTTAGTGGCCAAGAAAATGCTTTTTCTAGGTGGACTTCTTTAGTCTCTGTTCATACCTTATCAGTGCAAAGCACAAATGGGCACAATGGTCCTTCTGTGACACCTGCTTTCACGCATGAATAAAAGCAGCTACCTCTTGGGTGAACACTGCTCTCAGTCCGGGGAAGATACAGTTTATTGCATGAGCATTTTGCTCTTACAGGATCATGTGCTCTATATGAAAGAAACTTTTCTATATTAGTTATATCTACATCTAAGCCCATATTACCACATTTTATTAGTCCATAGTATTGCTTCTTTAAGCCTGCATATTACCTTCCAATGTTTATGTAAAGTTTGGTAATAGTAAATGGCTGGCTTAAAACAGGCAGAAAATTCAACAGATGCTCTAAAGGGGAACACTGTGGGGAGGGGATGGGGGAAGTAAACTGCTATTGAAAGTTATACTCTTTGCTTATACAGTCATAGAATGTATATATATCTTTGGGCTGCACAATTCCAGAAGACCATAAGATGGCAGCAAAGAGTTTTGCCATATCTCTCTGCTGACATCTAGTGGTTCCTAGGATATTCATATCCCAGCTATATATGCCTATGTAGAATCTTTACCAGAGAAATGAGATGTCAGAACACAATACCTTTGTCATGCAGTCAGCCCTGGTTGTACATATGCTTCCTTTATGTGGGGAGTGTAGCGTAATAGAGTTGCCTTACCAGTTACGTTTCTGGTCTACGAATACTGGTAGTAGATCTCACAGGCCTGAAGCAGAAGTCACTCCAAGTTCAGAACTTCCTATCTAGAGAAGGTATGAACTGAACCATTACCATACACTTTGAAAGTACGTGTGTTCTATCACACAGAGCTAGATTTGCTCCACATGTGGCATATAACAGCCATACTGGAACATGAAAACATAATTAAAACAACTGTGAACTACTGGCCAACTTGTGCTAAAGAATGTGTCAAATTCTCTACCAACAAGGCAATCTTACACTTGGAGACCACCTTTTAGTACTCTCAGTACTAAAAAAGTTATAAATCTGTTAACTGATTAGATTTGCACATCTCAATTAGTCAGTTTTTAAACAGCGGTTTGTTGAGGAAATCACAATGGATTGGGTTCACACAATGTATTAAGCCATAAAACATAATTTACTAGGGACAATGATTAGGTTCGTACAACATTCTAAACCCAAACCAAGTAAACTACATGAGATGTAAATCCAGCCATTGCATCCAAGTGTATATCTAGTAATCTTCATTTTAGTCCTCATAGATGGTAAATTTTGTTTGCATTTTATTATTTAACTATTAATTTAGGGAATTAGCCAAACCAAATCTGCAATCTTTTTAACCAGGCTGTTTTTTTTTTCTTTTAATAAAATACAACCTTCTATTTTGCAATTACAAACTAGACTATAAACTGGTGTCTAGTGAAATGTCTCTGAAAATATGTGCTCAAACCATACATCCATTGTTAAGTTAGGCATTTGATCCAATTGTGAACATACTCAATCTGTAATTAACCATGTTGAACATGGAAAACCAGAAGTTCCCAGGGGTGCCTATTAGTAAAATATGTTTTATTTTCATGTATTTCTATGTTGGAGAATACAAACTACCTGACAGAGAAATCCAATCCAGTTCCTTTGGGGGATTTTTATTGTTTGTTGCCTGAAATAGATAAGTATTCCTGCACCCTCTGCATTTTTGTTTGACCTGCCAGACACAAAATAGGAGACAGGACCATGCTGGACTATAAGCATCTAGTAATGTTGCTTTGTTGAGCTGTCTGTGATCTCATCCCATTGTTCAGTAGGGGCAACATCCCTGTCTTTCTCAGACTCTGGCACAGATCTAATCTAGGCTTTCCCTTAGACTTCCCATCAGGTTTTTTTAGGATGGACAATTTTTAAGAAATTTGTATTTGGAAAAGTTTGCTTCCAAATTCTGAGCCCCGGCACACCCTTCATTTTGCTCTCTAAGTCACGCTTGCAGCTGTACTGAACATTTGTGATGCACAGGTTTTGATGTAAGCATAAAAAATGGAAGGTTCATCCACTGGCTCTCTTTTAAAATAAGAATTAAGTTGTTCTGTGAAACCTACTACATCTATTGACCTGACGCGCTTGCTTTGACCTCATCAACAATTCAGGGCAGGCTGCATGCACAGTTGACCTCAGAAAATGAAACATTTATCTTTGAAGGCCACTCTTCAACTTCTGTGGAACACTGTTTTCTGATGGCACAAATGAAGGAGAAAGTAGCAAATAAAATAAAGGTTGTTGAACTGCAGGTATAAATTGAAATACATAAATCTGAAACGGCTTAACATTAGTATGACTTAAACTCTTAAAGACAGTAACCACTATTCAGCAAGCAAGAAGGTCATACTAAGTGGGCAAAGACTGTTTATTTTTTGCTTGCTTTTAGGAGCATATGACAGATTGTGGATTTGGGGATAATGTGCTAACATAAGTTCACAGATCATGCTACACACCTTGGTTTGTTTATCCATTGCTTACTAAATAAACCATTAGTGACTGGCCTTCTAAGCCAAAACCCATGGTTTACAAAGCACAGTGGCTGGATTCATACAATATGCCAAACCAAAACAAGAGCAACTACATTATGGCTTAGTGTGATGTATAAATCTAGCTACTCTTTTCTGACACCAAACCAGAAAGTGCAATCAACAGAGAAAGGGATCTTTTGCAGTTAGCACCAAACATTGGCTGCTATTAAAAAATAACCCCAGGTGCCCTCAACCGTAACAGATCTGCATTTCCAATAAATATATATGGTCTTTTGGGTACCAAACCAAGTTCTGAAAGGGGAGTGTCCTTTTCTGCCACTGTAATGTAGAGACAAATTGCATTTAGATTGCACACAGACAGCAGGTACAAGCAGGAAGATTGATGAGACAAAAAGTTCTGACACTACTTGAAATGCAGGCAGATCCTTCCTTTAGCCCAGCAATATACACAGGAAAATCTTGTAGGTGGCTTCTTTTCCCACCCTAACAGGCAGAGTACTGTAAAAGGCTGCTTAGTAATTATTAATGTGGTGCTTTATCCATCTGTGGGACAGGAGCAAGGAAACCTTTCTCCTCTAAACCAGCTATGTTCACTGTCTTAACCAAGCAGGGAAAACAGTAGCTGGATTGATCAGAACATAGGAGGACGGCTATTTCCACTCTAGGACTTTGGTTCCGAATCAGTTTCTGGTTAGTATAAGAATTTAAACAATTAGAACTAATTTTACATGAAGTCAATTTCCTTGATATATTCCGATTACAAATACTAGGTAGGGATTACTGAGGATTATTCCCAGGTTAGAGTTAATGGCACAGGAATCAACGTTAGATCAGGATTAAGCATACAGGAGATAAGAGGGAGCACTGTGATGATATCCTACAGACTGATATCTAACCAGGGTTATGGGGTGGAAGAATGACCTTCTTTCTTTTGCTTATTTACTACTAGAGATGCCAAGTGATGCTTGACCCAAGAGGCTCTGAGAGAGAATCAGCTCCACTCTTCTAAGGTCACATGCTGCTCTTCTGGTCATTTCACTTTAACAAATGCTGTCCACATTACATACATTGGTGTCTAAAATTTTCTGTCTCACACAGCCTGATGAATTTCTGTATGCAGGATTAAATTCACCGCCAGGAGGATCATGTTCATCTTAAGTAGTAAAGGAATATGTTTTGTTTCTTAAACTAATATTTGTGATCTCTTTGGTGGATCAAGGATTACTGGGAAGACATGAAGCGGGCTTACTCCAGCAATAGTAAGGGTATATATGGCTCTTTTAATTTTGCTAAATCAACATTTTCATGCAAGAAAACCCTACTGGTTGATGTTAGAAATGACAGTCCTGCCTAAGTACTAAGCTTTTCTAGCAAATATTCAAAGCTAGAGCAGGGGTTAAAAGTGTGGACACCCACACATGCAAATTCATACTTGCACACATATGCATCATGAAACATCTACAGGCTGTTTACATTCCCACTTTAGTCCAGGCTTTCATTCAGCTTATACAGCTATAGTCAACCAGAATTGGAGGCCGAACTGCTGTTTAGGAACATAAAGCCCCTAGTTTAGTCCCTGGCATTTCCGGTAAATGGATCTCAGAGACCAGGGCAAGAAAAATCTTTGTCTTGTTATTTTAAAGAATCCCAGTGGCCAGGCAAAGTAGAGAATACCAAGCGGGCCTAATTTCAGACAAAGTAACTGCAAGCGTCCCAACCATTAAATATGATAACACATACTCTGAATGTGATAGAATTGGTATTGATGCATCCAGTGCAAGTATTTGTGCAAGGATTATTACACTGAGATTAAGCTGTGCTCCTGTTTTATATATTTCTATCTTTCAACCATATCTTAACTGAGGTCTATGGCATTCAGGGTACAAGCCTTTTTCCATGTATGTATGTATGTATGTATGTATGTATGTATGTATGTATGTAAATAGGTACCAAGGGAGTTCCCCCACTCCCAAATTCCTTCTGAAGGAGATGTATCACAACGAATTAAGTCATAGCATGAAAAAAAAGTAGCCTATAACATTCTAGTGCAAGGTTCTTTTTCCTTCCCTTTCTTCCTTTCGTATCACCAGTCCTTAAGCTGTTCTTATCTTGCTGTTAAGTAACTGTTCTAATCTTCTGGGAATTTTAGGAAATTAGTCTACTGCAAGATCTAGAGGAGGAAGAGGAGCTCCTGAACATGGAAATTGCCAAGATTCCACATGAACAGATTTACAAAAATTGGTCAATCATTTCTAGTTCATTATTGCTAAACTCTCCCTGTGCTCACTATCACCCATGAATTCTTTTCATTCACTTGCTCTTTATTTTTTTTTAAAAAGCATCCTTTCCTAACCGTAACCCTTTGGTAGGGTTACAGACAGCTTGCTTTGATGGCATACTTCTTTTGAGGTTTCATTCCTCCTAATATACTAAGAAAGGAAAGTTGGAAAGTCCCAGAGCTAATCAGTGAAGGCCTGTAGCAGATGTCAGCACCTAGCTAACCTTGACTTATCTTGAAAATTTAAACACAACTGGACCTGGTTAGTGCTTGGATGGGAGACTACTAGGGATTCCTAGGGCTGTAAGTTAGATGGGAAGTTAAAAAAAAAACATGCTGGCAGTAGCAATGGAAACATTTTCATATTGTTGCCAAAAAGAATGCATGGACATATCCATGAAATCACCAGGAGTTAAGTGTGACTTAAGAGATACTTCTAATTAGTTAAAATGAGGGGATTTGCTTCTCTGGCTTAAGGATCACTTTGAGCTCCAACAACCCTAGATTAGTTCCCATATACACTGATGGCAGAGCCTTAGGGCTATGATCACAGTTGCTATGGCTGTTTGGTCTTTGATAACTGGATCCATTCACAGCTTTGTGCAATACACTCTATGGCTTATTGTGTCGCATATGCCTATTATACTTCTGCTATCCTTCTCTATCCAGAGGCAACCAATAAATAAATTGTAACTAGCAATGGATTCTGAATCCAGAGCAAATAAAAATCTTTGCAGGACACTATGTTAAGAGATGTTCCTTTGATTAATTCTTTCTCATGGCCCCAAGTCCACCTATAGTAAAGGGAGCATTCTGAACTGGCCAGAATAGGCAACATACAGGGTTTTTGAGGGGGACCTGAGAAATGGGAATAGGAGCAAGATGCATCCTTGGCTTGGATGACCTCACCCCATAAAGGGAATGTGGACTGAAGCATCACAATATTGTGAAAACCATCTCCTTATATCATTCTGTTTCTACATTCCACCCCTTGGGGGGGAAAAACCAATTTAAACATAGGGAGGGAGGAATTTAAAAAATAAACAAACAACAGATAAGTGTCAGACTCAGTGCCATTTGTTTTAGGAAGATGTTCAAAGGCCATAGAAGCAGCTCCCAGGAAAAAGTCTCCAGCTAGAATTGCTCCTATCTACATATTACAAAGCGGAATTGCATGGCTCCTGCTATAATGGAATGGCTCATAAAATTCCCCCTTTCCCCCAAACACCTGGAACATGCTTGGTCTCCTAAATAAACATGAGAAAACTTGGTTGAAGATGATGAGGCCATCAAATAGTTCTGGAGCAATATAGACTGCCACAGGCTCCTGTCTTGCTGAAGTTCTGAAAGAATGTGGAGATGTGCTAAAATCCTAGCTGTTAATCTGATGTAATTTGACTATAATCTGTAATTGGAATCTGACTATTAAGCTGCCAAAGAAAGAGCTGAAAGAGGAAGGCAGTAGATCTGCATCCAGCCATGTTGTCTTCTTGTCTTTGTTGCATCTTAGAGAAAGCAAGGTAGGGATGCAAAATTCCAGCTTACCAGTTCCCAAGGCTGTTGGTTCTTTCTTGCAGTTTAATGCTCTAAAGTTTAAAATCTTTGGGGTTAACTCCCCTTTTCACTAAGCTCTTGATGGGAGAGAGAGCATCATTTCCCCTTTCACTGCTATATTTCCAAATTTTGTTTCATCTTTTTTCACCGTCAAAAAGCACAAAACAGGCTTTGAATTATGTCCTGAGAAATCTGGTATGGTGTAAATGTTCATTTTGGTTTTTTTTAAAAATGTTTTAGCAATACTTAAAAAAAAGCTGTTTAGGCATTTTAAAAGTTCTTTTTCACAATGTCTTGGCTACTTGGGACTACTGCTATAGCTGGAGCTATAGAGAACAATATGATTTAATTTGCATGAAGGGTAGCTAAAAATATGATTTCTAGGCTCATTTTATCCATCTGAGGAAGGAGACAGATACCTCTGAAAGCTTATGGCCCTATTATAAAATGACACACAACATTTTGGCTGCAATAGGTGAATAGGCCTGCTCTCCTGAATTTCATACTTGCATGGGTATTTGGGAGGAAAATCCCCTAAGAGGGGAAATACAAATGCAGTAGCAGGATACAGGAAGCCTAGTTAGTACTCTGGATCATTCATGTTTTATCTCTGTTTTCTCAATGGGACATTTGCAAAATTCCAATGCAAGGGAACTGAAAGATCACATTCCAAAAACAGAAGGCTCAGAAACTGCTGAAGAGAAAGTTGAGACATCAGGTTTTCAACACTGGACACAACAAGAAGGGAACCAAACAGGAATGCTGTTACAGACTGTGGCAGATTATAGAGTAGTGCCTGACTTGTCGATAAAGATGTGGACCTGTTCCTGTTCTTTCCTTCCATAGTCTGAATGATCACAGCAGTCCAACTAATTCAGTCCCTGCCTTGTCCCTACTACATCCTCTCCCGCCTTCATTTGGTGAGGCTCCCACAATGGGAGTATCCGAGAAGACTGAACTGACTGAATCCGGATCAGACAATTTTCTCTCTGCCTTCTGGACTCCTTTGGGTGCATGTTTGGGGGAGCTGGTGGGCTTGCATTTGCCATTCTGGCCTTGGGCTCTGCTTGGCACCGTGTTCCGATTTAATCCTTCCTTGCCCCCAGTTACTTCAGCATTGTGATTTGGAGTGGTACTGAGCACTGAAGAGTTGATACTGTCCTCTTGTTGGTTAGCCTGCTTTTCATTGCTGCGGCACCAGCAACGGCACGGAGTCAGATAAAGATAGATGAGCACAAGAATGACACTCAGGATACAGCCCACTAGTGTGGTATAGGCTGTGTTGAGCATGTCTGGGGCTCCATGAAGGGTATAGTTATGGACTGTGACTTGTACATAGAGGGTCTCATTGAACACCTGGCTTACTGCATAACAGGTATACAGGCCCATATCCTCTATGGTGATATTGTTTATCTGAAGGCTTCCATTTGGCAACAGAGTAATGGAGCTATTATCACCCTCCTGCTGAACATGCTCATATCGGGGTGTCACCCATTCCTTAACTGTCACTCCTCGTTGCCTAGTATCGCAATTGATGGTTACCCGGTCCCCACGGTGGACCTCTAGGGCTTGCTCCTTGAATGCACTGCAGTTCATGCCCTCTGGATCATACAGGCTGGAAATTGAGACATTTTTATCCTTGGTCTGATCCAAGCATTTGAGCTCTTCCTCAAAGTCCACAGCTGAGCTTAGCTGCCGTTTCTGCCAGTGGGTGAAGAGGTTGTAAAGCTCACAGTGGCAGCTGAGTGGGTTGCTGTGAACATAGAGGCCATTTTTCACCCAGGCTGGGAGCCCATTGACCTCCTTCACAAACAAGTTCTTGATCTTGTTGGAAGAAAGGTCTAGCAGTGCCAATTCAGGGAGCTTAGCCTCTCCTTTTTTAATGAGCTCCAGGGGGAAGCGGGAGATCTCATTATGGCTAAGGTACAGTTTCCGGAGTTTGGCCATATCCTCAAAAGCCGAGCGGTCAATCTTGGAGATCTTGTTGCTATATAGGAGCAGCACCTCCAACTCAGTCAGTTTACTAAAGATGTTCTCTCCTAGTGTATCAATGGCATTGGAGGAGAGGTCCAAGTATTTCAGATGGGGGACATTGCAGAAGGCCTCGGTGGAGATGAAATAAAGGCCATTGTGGCTAAGGAACAATGAATGCAGATGAGGGAGCTGGAAAGGGGTCCACTCTGCTCGCAGGCGGGTCAGCTGATTGTGGCTGAAGTCCAGGACAGCAGCATATTGAGGAAGGTGAGGAGGGAAGACTTTCAGGTCCGCTTTGGAGCAGCTGATGATGTTGCTGGCACACACACAGTTCTTGGGGCAATTCAGCGCCAACCCCCCTTGCCGACCAGTGCCCAAACTCAATAGCACCAGCAGCCAAGATGCTCTAAAGCTCAGCGCAAGACATTGGCGGGACGCTGGGGCATCCTGAAACCACATTGTAAGACTCAGCGAGGAAGAGTCAGGGTCCTGATCTGGAGAAGATACAGAAGGGCAGGAACCATGGAGGTAGCAGTAAGGGCGCTGGGACAGGGTCCACCAGGCGCTGCCAAGGTCCGGTGTTCGCCAGAACCCTAAGCAGAGGACGGGAACTCTGAGGCCAAGGGGGCAAAGTGCCCGCTGTACTCATCCCCTGAGCAGTACCGGCAGGATCCACCTGCTGCAGAGGGCGATCCGAAGGACGGCGAAGGCCAAGCCCTTGTCCCGGCTTCCTCCAGCCCCGCTGGGGAAAAGATGCCTCTCATGGACAAGTCGAGCCCGGCTCACGCTTCCACGTCCGCTCCTCCCCTCCTCAGCCTGTCGGCCAAGCCCTGCAGGCTGCCACGCGGTGTTGCATTGCACCAACAGTCCCCCAAGCGGCAGCGCCAACCGCTCATTCACTCACCGGCGAACAAGCTCCTCTTCCTCCGCTGCTCAGCCCATCCCGGCAGGTCGGTTCCCGCAGCGCTGGCTTCTCATGCGGCCTCCTGCGGTCACAGACAGGAACGAGAGGACCGGGCTGCCGAGGAAGCCGAAGCGGGCAGCTCCTGTTCTGAAGGAGTCCGGAGCCGCTGCCAGTTCTCCCAGGCGGGGGTGGGGACGGAGCTGCCGAGGGCTATCCCGCGCGACCAGAGGGCTCGACTGGGCTCTAGAGGGGCTGCTGGGGGGGATAGGCTCGGGGCGCCGAAAGTGCTGAGCAGGCTTCCGGCGGTGCGGATCGGTCACCGGAGCAAAGACACGGCGGCAGCCGGAAAGGTTAATCCAGGCTGGTTGACTGGGAGCAGGAAAGGCGGGCAGGCAGGCTGCGCGCGCATGTGCGCGCGTCCTGGGAGTGCGATGGTCTTGCACACTAGCTCCTAGCACGCTCACGCTCACACCCACCCACAGCCTGTCAACGGAGGAGGAGGAGGAGGAGGAAGAGGAAAAGGCTGGCCAAGCAGTCCTAGAGAGCTAGCCCCAATATGCACACGCGTAGACGCACCGCCGGCACTTTGGCAACCTGGAAGCTATCCCAACTGCAGCCCAGGGACTCCGACGCTAAAGGGAGGCGGCGGAGGCTACCGGTGGAATGGGGAGGGTTGCCGAAACGGCGCCCCGGCTGTTTTGAGGACGCTCCCTCCTCCTCGCTGCTAGTAGCCGGCAACTAGCGCGAGCCCCGACGTCCGACCTGAAGGCAGTTCTCGCCAGGCTGTGCGTCAGGGCCGAGGGCGAGTGTCCGCGAGCGGTCCTCGGCTTCCCGAGGCTGGGCGGGCTTGCTCGGCGAGGAAAGAGCCTCCTTCGGAAAAGCAGCCGGGTTGCATTCGCGCCAATCGTCTCTTGTTATTGTTTGGATAAAAATGATATTCTTGAGGCGGGGGGTTAAGGGCGGGACGGGCGAGCGGACCGACCAGTCAACAATCGCTGCCCCGGAGGACGTGCGGGTTCGTAGGGTTCGATGGGCGCCCTCGAGCCAATGAAGGGAGGCAAGTTTTTAACCAGTCACTTTCCGGAGCCCCTGCGATCGGCGGATCTGACTGTACCGCTGAGGCAGGGAAACAGAAAGTCCTCGATGCTTCGCGGCAGCGCATTCAAGTAGCATCTTCGCAAACATGGCGTTACTCGGGGAAAGCGGGGAGGAAAACTTGCGGAAAAGTTCGGGAAAAACGAAAGATTGAATTTAAAAGGGCAGACAGGTGGCGCCAGTAAAGAGATGCTTGGATCGGCTTCCAGAGGCTTTTGACTCACTGTTTGACCTCTAATACTGCACCTTAATCCTAACTTTTGCGCCACTTCAGAAATATGAAGCCATTTAAAGCACCGCCCTTACCCGAGAACTGAAAAGGGAGGGTTGCATAAATACATAGAACTAATAATCAAGTGGCTTCTAGGGTGGGAATCAGAATGTTCCATCGGGCACAGTATGTCTATCCTGAGGATTGGTACTCTTCTTTTTATCTGAATATTAAAAAATGGTTAGTACTCTATTAAAACAAAACAAAACAGTGGAATCAACCAAATCTTTTAAAAGCCACTCCCCCATTAAAATTCTGTTTAAGGCCTTCCCCCAGTGTTGAAGTGCTCTCTATTCATCTTAAATTGACTGAAAGCTATACCAGCATTAAAATCTGCTCCTGTCTGATTCTTTTCTTGCCAATATTGCTTCCATTTCGACTCATCACTAGTATAGTCCTGACTTATAGCACACAATAAGGGAAGCCATTGGTTGATTCCTCCATCATTGCTGTCCTCCCTCTTCTATATGTCAACAGCTGAGAAAAACATATCGGAAAAGAACATGGCTGGCTGCAGCACTTCTTACACTCATAGTCCATGGGGTATGGTCAAAAAAGTCAAGATGGCGGCCATGATAATGTGAAGTTTGGTCACATGACACGCACACACACACACACACACACACACACAACAGGCAGAGCTTCAACTGCACTGTCAGGGCCACCATTTTGAGTGTTTTGACCATACCCTATGGATCCCCCTGACTCCATATATAATCTCTAGGCTCCTTCCTGTGCCCCTTTTCCTACACCCCATTCTATCAAAACCTATGATGAATAAAACTAAGCAAAGGATAAAAGATCAGACTTATGAAGGAAGCTGACCACTCACACTTTGGATTTCTCTCAGCAGCACAGCACTACTGCATCTAGCATGTTAGGGAGACAACAGCAGAATGGTGGCCGACAAGGCTGCCCAGAGCCCAGAGGAAGGGGGTATGCCCACATCAGTCTGAAATGCCCAACAAGCAGTGGTCTGGTCCTACCTGCTACTGGTCACCTGAGTTTGCTCCCGGAATAATGAGTGGTGAAGCATTACAGATTTTACATACTTTGCAGCTGTTGATTTAAGGAGGAAAACATTGGTACAGCTAAGGATGGCATAAGGCTGTCTCAATCACGGGTTGGGTATGAGGTAAAGGCAATGTCTTGGGGAAATGGCAAAGAACAGATGTTGTCATTTGTTGCCATCCTATCCAAACTGATCCAAATTTAAAGCAGTCAGGTCTTCTGTTAACCCACTGCCAAGACAGATAGATATAGCACATTTACATAACCGCCCATCTCACACAAAGCAACTGTGAGTGGTGTACAACAATTAAATAAAATAACAAATGGATAAAAGCAATCATTATAAAAAGATAAAAAGTTATTACTAAAATGAAAACTTTATAAACAATTTTAAAAGTTTGAATTTTTAAAATATACAAACCCCACAGAGAGAGCAGAATATCTATCATAGTGGCGTCATCTAAGAATGTCTCAGGTTTCTGAAAACCCCCAGGCCTGATGACACAATCAGGTCTTGAGGGACTTCCTAAATGACAGCAGGGAAGGGGCGAGCCTAACTTCAGGAATGAGAATGTTCCACAAGAAGGGAGCCACAGCAGAGAAGGCCCACCTCCTGGGACCCACCAAATGCAAGTCCCTGGCTGAGGTACAAAGAAGGTACATAGGGTACCTTCTTTGCCAGATCTAATGGGATGGGCTGATGTACAGGGGAGAGGCGGTCCTTCAGATAACTCCGGTAATGATAAATTTTGATACCAAAATAATGATAATGATAACATGCTTTATCCTGCCACAGTGATCGCTAATAATGGTAGGAGTTATAAATCGCTAGTGATGAAATTGTGTCTCAGCAAATACATCATCTGGTGGACTTCATAGAAGATGCTTCATATCTACTGTACCTCCAATAGCAAAGAAATCTGAAGCAGAGACTCAGGTGGTTTCCCTAGTAGTCTTTTCCCTTCAGTGTCTTTTATCATCACCGAGCCATCACTGAAAGTGGATAAAAAGTCTCTCCTTATTACTGTTCTGTCAGCACAGTGCTGGTTAGATGACTGTAGAAGATGCTATAGGTCACTAGTGGGGATCCTGCTTTAGAGCAGTTCTGGCAAGTTCTAATAGGGAAATATGCCTCCCATTTTCTGGTGCTATATTGTTTTGAACCCACAAATGCCAAAAGCAGCATCCTGAAATGAGATGTAATCAAACTGAAAAGCAAATTATATAGCTGGTGTGGCATACAGATAATAAGCTCCCACCTACATATCCAATCAGAAGCTGTATTTTGAAGCAATCGAGGTTCCGCTGTTTCCGTTCCTACCATGGCTTTTAGGGATCTTACTTGACTGAGCTGAAGATTCTGAATTCTGGGAATTGTAATCCCAGGACCTCTGGAGGGGATTGGGGAAAGCTGGACTAGTGTCATACATGTTTTTGCCAGCTCAGGTGCAAGCTGAAGGTGCTGAAAGATGCTCCTCATTATCACCAGTCTCTTGCCTTTCAAGAGCAAGGCAGGGTCCAAAAGCACTCTCAGGCAGCTGGTTTGCTTTTGAAGGGGGAATAAAACTCTGCCAAACTAGAATATTGGTTAACTACTTCTAGGTCAATGTTCCTCAACCTGGTTCCCTCCAGATATATTGGATTCCCATAATTTTCAGTCAGCATCAGGAGATGGGTTAGAAAAGGCTGTTCTAGAGCATGTTACTCAGCAAACCAGGGCTTTTTGGCTTTAGTGTGTTAGGCAAAAGATTCACATGGGGATTAGATGAAGAGAAGGATTATTTTCACACATGATGCTGAAACTGAATTTGTGTTCTCCATTTTCAATTCACATGTAAAATTTGCATTGGTGAGTTGAAAGGCTTACCTCCAGACTAATCCAAGATATATCTGTGATGGCTCATAGCCATTGCTTGGTGTCTTGGGTTCTCCACTCCCCATTTGTTGCATTAGTAGTCCCTACAGGCAGATCCTTGGAACAGGAAACAGACTTCTTTGCTTACGCTCTCCAGTCATGTGAATAACACTGTATTAGCAAACAACCTGCTTGCTATCACTAACCATCCGTACCAGAAGTGCACAAATGAAGTCCCAGGGCCATATGCTGCCTTGGGTGCAGTCCCCAGAGGCCTCCAAATGTTGCCACTACCTTGTAATTTAGTGCATTCAACCTGCTAATTAATGCGCTTATTTTACTTATTCTATGGAAAACCGTCATCCAATTTTGGTGCATGGTGAAGTCAATAAAGGGCTAGATATAGGTGCAGTTCACACTAATAGTTGCCATCCTTGAACTAAAATCTAATCATTTATAGAGATATATTGCAAGTGCTTATCCTATTTTACCAAGTTCCAGTTCATATGCATCGTCATTTTGTTATGGTTAAATCTTCCTAGGATATCTAAATGCTTATTCAAGACTTCATTAAACAAGGCTAATTGTGTTGTGCCCCATACTTGGTAGGGCATAAATTCAATTTTATTGACTCTCAAGGCAATTGCCACACAGTTCCAGTTTTCACCTCTGCAAAATCTGCAAAGCATATACTCAGTACCATCCTGCAAGACTCCTCACCATGTTGCTAAATTATTTTCCTGAGCAGATTGGTCCTCCCTCCAGCTGGCCAACAGGGGAACACCAAAATGGGTGCT